CTCATTATCCATCCTGTCATTTTTCTAGCAGATGCGATTGATACAATGTTATGGTCCTTGAAGGTGAGATCCTCCGACATGATCACTCCCAGGTCTTTGACGTTGGTGTTTCGCTCTATTTTGTGGCCAGAATTTGTTTTGTACTCTGATGAAGATTTAATTTCCTCGTGTTTGCCATATCTGAGTAATTGAAATTTCTCATCGTTAAACTTCATATTGTTTTCTGCAGCCCACTGAAAGATTTAGTTGATGTCCGCCTGGAGCCTTTCAGTGTCTGCAATGGAAGACACTGTCATGCAGATTCGGGTGTCATCTGCAAAGGAAGACACGGTGCTGTGGCTGACATCCTTGTCTATGTCAGATATGAGGATGAGGAACAAGATGGGAGCAAGTACTGTGCCTTGTGGAACAGAGCTTTTCACCGTAGCTGCCTCGGACTTTACTCTGTTGACTACTACTCTCTGTGTTCTGTTAGTGAGGAAATTATAGATCCATCGACCGACTTTTCCCGTTATTCCTTTAGCACGCATTTTGTGCGCTATTACGCCATGGTCACACTTGTCGAAGGCTTTTGCAAAGTCTGTATATATTACATCTGCATTCTTTTTGTCTTCTAGTGCATCTAGGACCTTGTCGTAGTGATCCAATAGTTGAGACAGACAGGAGCGACCTGTTCTAAACCCATGTTGCCCTGGGTTGTGTAATTGATGGGTTTCTATATGGGTGGTGATCTTGCTTCTTAGGACCCTTTCAAAGATTTTTATGATATGGGATGTTAGTGCTATCGGTTTGTAGTTCTTTGCTATTGCTTTACTGCCCCCTTTGTGGAGTGGGGCTATGTCTGTTGTTTTTAGTAACTGTGGGACGACCCCCGTGTCCATGCTCCCTCTCCATAGGATGGTAAAAGCTCGTGATAGGGGCTTCTTGCAGTTCTTGATGAACACGGAGTTCCATGAGTCTGGCCCTGGGGCAGAGTGCATGGGCATGTCATTTATAACCTGTTCGAAGTCATTTGGCATCAGGATAACATCAGATAGGCTTGTGTTAACGAATGACGTGGAAGTTTGCGTCATCCTGAAAGCGAATGATTAATTATTGAAGTGAACTGTAATTGAAAAGTTGAATTGTTAATTTGATAAATATAAGGCCAATCGACTGCACGAGGGTCATTAAACCCGCGAGTCGCCTAGACCTAAAGTAGCAACGATATTCCATTTCCTAAACTGGGCAATAGTGTATACTCTGCATATATACCATGGCTCCCTGCGATCATATATGGCTTTAGCCGGTTTAGCCATTCTCCATCCCAGTGATTTAACTAAAAGTTCTGTGTTTTAGATGATTCCAAGGTTTCACGGGCGGTTTCCTTGTTTTCCCAGGAAATTAAAGAACTTTATCAGCTCTACGAGATCTGTTGGAGTTTTTATATTACTGAAGCAAATTTATGTTTTGCATCATGATTCTTAACAATTGAGAAGAATCATAGGACTCACGAAATCATAACACGATTGCAACAAATCACAGAATGGGAGGGACTCGAATCATGCAGGTGACTCCTGAAGCTCCCTGCCACGGAATCGAGCTCCACCTGTTCTGTGATTTAATAGTGATAGGGATCTAGGTTAGTTATTGCTGTAACTGACTTTTTATACTTATTCGGTTGAAATTACAGGCTAGAACTTATTATCCTACCTCTGTTTGTTCCTAAGTCCAGCCCTACCTAATGTATACTTCCATCCTCACCGGCAAAACACTTAACATAAGAACATAAGAACGAAGGAACACTGCAGCAGGCCTACTGGCCCATGCGAGGCAGGTCCAAGTCTCTTGCAGAATAGTACTGAGCTACGAGCCATTTATACCTTCCTGAATTATCTAGGATACATTAAGGCTCATTTGCATCACGTAACAATTATGTTCTTTAATGTCCTATTGATTACGGAGCATAAGATTGTGTTTGGCAGTGACGTCAAGCAATACAACCAATGAAAACAGAAGTGATAAAATGCTTGAACTAAATCGATTTATTTTATTTAATAAGTGAAAACATTTGCGACGATACTTTCGGTTTCTAGCTTTAGTTGGTTGGGTTGAAAACCTTCCAATGATACATTGGTCTTTAGGTTGCAAGAAAAATACTTACTACTTCAAAACCTAAAAAAATCTAGATTAAAATAAACTCTTAGTGTACATTACACAGGGTAACACCCTGCCGGTGTATGAATATGCGCTCTTTCATTTAAAGTGTTGGCAGCGATATGTTGACACAGTGAACACGCACAGAGATATCGCTGAAGTAGTCGGTATTAGCACTGTTGGCAACAGTGGCTTCAGCTGCAGTTAAATATCATTGCACTTTCTGCTGTATAATTACTTATGTTCTATTTTACAAAGTCTAATTGCAAAAGACAGTTTCATTTAAGTGTTTTAGTAAAAATATATATGCATATCAATGAAAATAAATAAGGTAAAATGCTGCATTAAGTACCTGTGTCACACCTGCTCACAGCAGACCCGTAAACACCTGCAGCAGTGTGATCTACAGTCTTGTGCACGTAGTTTGTAAGAAGTGCTCTCCCCAGGAAAAAATCTGTAAGGCGAAAAGTGTGTTTTATCGCCAAGATATATAATGAATCTCTGAATAACACGAGGTGGAGGGCAAGAAAGATATCGGAAAGTAATATAATAATTGCGAAGTTTTAAAAAATAAGTTGTACCAATAAAAGTGCGGGTTGTCTAGTCGGAAAAGAGTATGCAGAGCGCGGGTCAGTTGCTCCACTGCAGTGTTTTCCTGTTATGTATTCATTCGGGTACAAAGTGAAATTATCTGGTTCTACTCTCCAGGAAAGGCGAGACGTTTGGCTAGTTTCCTTACATGTATTGCCTAATATAGATGCCTAATAATTAATCGGCTGTTGTGGGTCACATCCTAGGGTGGAAGGACTAAGAATTCCTATTGAAAATAACCCACAGTGCTTGGCTTTCTTTGGTTACCCTGGGTTGTTGACCCTCTCGAATTAATAAGCTAGTGAAAATCTACAATTCCTACCAGTGCTTGACATAGCGTTCTGATACCTAAGGTAGGGTGAGCTTCCTAGCCTCAGCATCTGATACTCCAATCAATACCCGTCAAAATAATAGTGATTCGTAAAGTGAAGAATGAGTTGTGACTGAAAACATGGTACTACACTGGATATTGTGCAAGAAGACTATTAAATCTTGACTACAAATCATTCAGAATATATCCTCAAATGACGTCTACAAAACATGTAGTCTTTCATGGTTCTGTAAAAAATGGAGTTATCAGTAATCTTTCAGTTACCTAACAAGTACAATCTAGATTACATTACTTGTACAATCTAAAGAGCACAGATAATGCTGTCATAAATAATGCCGACACCAATAATGCTCTTTTCCGTCATATTAGAGATCAGTCAGCTTATTGACTGGTCCTCTGCTAAAACTGTCTTCCATTCTTTTAGCCTTCACAGTCGCCCTCTTGTTGAAGCATCCCTTATACTCAATTTTTCTAAATATTTATTTTAGTTCTGGCTTTGTCTCTGTAGATGCCATCCTTTCTCATTACATTTTCAAATGCTCCAAGCCTCAAAACACTTGACCTGATCTTTTCTTCTCCTCCTCTCCTTTCCTCCTCTCCTTTCCTCCTCTTATTTCCTCTTCTTTTTTCCTATTTTCCCTTGTCTTCTTTTTTTTTGCCTAGATGTGCTATGTCTTCAGTTCAACCGCCCCTCCCCCGCATCCCTATGTTTTTGGTCCCACACCCTTGTGAGCCAGTGGCTCTCCTACAGTGCTCCTTTTCGAGTTCTTACACTTAATCTACTTCTACTTCTCCATTTCTACTACTATTAACACTACTGCTATTTCCACTTTTGCCTCGTTTCACTATCCTTTCTACCACTACTTCCCCTACTACCACCACTTCTTTCTCCCTCTCTTTTTCTCGTCCCTGCTCCCCTCGTTGTATATACTGGGTCCCTCAGGTTTTTGTGTTAGTGTGACTTGTAAATGGTCCAGATGTCGTCATAAGCTTCTCTCCCTTATGTGCGGGTTATTTGTGTATCGTACCACTTTTGTCGTGAAACATAGGCTCTCCTATACCACCTCAGTTGGAAACATTTGTTGTCATCTCCTGCCTGAACGTGATTTAGCCCCGGGTGTCAAAATGGATTAGCTGGGGAAGGGAGGGGAAAGGAAACGGTCGGTCGCTCACTATTTCTGATGTAACTTAGTAATAATACTAAAAATATTTATTTGTGTAAGTATGTGATACAGTTTATAAAGACCTAGCAGACATCAATGACATACGACGAAGAAAGCCCCTTGTTATGCAAAGCATTTCGGGCGACTTAGGTTAATCTTGTCCCCCAGGATGCGAACCACACCAGTCAACCAACACCCAGGTGCCTATTTGCTGCTAGGTGAACAGGGACAGCAGGTGCAAGAAAACACCACCGAGGATCGAACCACGTATATTCAATGTGCGTGCTGAGTGCGCTACCATCCGAGCTACGGTACACTTAGGCGATTCACATTTTTTCTTTTAATGGCTGAGAATGTGAAAATAATACGTAAAGTAAAACATATATTCACGATTAACACGCAATTTGGAAACGAACTTTAGACTTTATTTCGGTCCGTCCTGAATCATTACCACCTCGAAATATTTCTTACTAACAAAACTAAGAACATAAGAAAGAAGGAACACTGCAACAGGCCTACTGACCCATGCGGAGCAGGCCCATGTCCCCCCCCCGGATTAGTCCAATGACCCACCTAGTCAGGTCAGTTCCACTTAAGGAAAGAGCACAGCATCAGACCTAGTAGCACAAGTTAGTCAGGTCCAACTCACACCCACCCACACCCACTCTTGTATTTATCTAAGCTATTTTTAAAACAACACAACGTGTAGACAGCCTGGACTGTCTGCACAGACAGCCAATGCTGTCTGCCAGCTTAGTTCATATTTCGCGGCACTCAGGTGCTGCCCTCTCTAGGCCTGCCCAGGTCAGTGGGACGTTGGTCCCACTCGCTATCTGGCGACACCTTTCACTGAGTCAAGAAGTGTCCACTCCTCTCTCCTACGCGGGCATGGCCCTCCCGGGCCATGGGCACAAACACACAAGCCTGTGTACCCATTACGACTTTGCAAATAAAATAAGCCTCCGAAGACGTATCATTTACTCCCCGCTACCAAGACATCACCCAATAGGCTTGGTAATAAATGGTAATAAACGTTTTAGCCTCTATAACTGTACTCGGGAGTTTGTTCCACTCATCCACAACTCTATTACCAAACCAGTGCTTTCCTATATCCTTCCTGAATCTGAATTTGTCCAACTTGAAACCATTGCTGCGAGTCCTGTCTTGGCTGGAAATTTTCAGCATGCTATTTACATCTCCTTTATTTATTCCTATTTTCCATTTATACACCTCGATCATATCCCACCTAATTCTACGCCTTTCGAGAGAGTGCAGATTCAGGGCCCTCAGTCTATCCTCATAAGGAAGATTTCTGATACATGGGATCATCTTTGTCATCCTCCTCTGTACGTTTTCCAGAGCATTTATATCCATTCTGTAATACGGCGACCAGAACTGAGCAGCATAGTCTAAATGAGGCCTAACCAAGGATATATAGAGTTGAAGAGCAACCTGAGGACTTCTATTATTTATACTTCTAGATATGAAGCCAAGAATTCTGTTAGCTTTATTGCGAACACTAATACATTGCTGTCTTGGTTTCAGATTACTGCTAACCAGAACTCCTAAATCCTTTTCGCAATCCGTAATACATTTAGTTTAAATGTAGCATGGTTAATTTCCTGTACAACATTTAGAACTTTGCATTTGTCTATTTTAAACTGCATCTGCCACTTCTCCGATCACTGCATCAGTCCATTCAAATCATCCTGGAGTGATCTAATGTCCTCATTAAAATGAATTGGACGGCCTATTTTGGTGTCATCAGCAAAAATGCTTATGTCGCTATTTATTCCCTCATCTACGTCGTTTATGTAAATTGTGAACAACAACGGGTCCAACACTGACCCCTGCGGAACACCGCTTGTGACATGCCCCCATTCTGATTTCTCCCCATTTATGCAAACTCTCTGCTGCCTATTTGTCAGCCATGCCTCTACCCAGGAAAAATTTTCTCCTCCTATTCCGTGTGCCGTAAGTTTCCTCAATAGCCTCTGATGTGGAACTCTATTGAAAGCCTTACTGAAGTCCATATACACAATATCATATTCATTACCATGATCTACCTCCTCAGATACCTTAGTGAAAAAAGTTAGTAAATTCGTAAGACAGGAACGCCCTTTTGTAAAACCGTGTTGAGATTCATTATCAATCTATGCCTATCAAGATGGCTACGAATTGCTTTCCCAATTATTGATTCCATAAATTTTCCCACTGTGGAGGTAAGGCTTATTGGTCTATAGTTCGAAGCCAAGGACCTGTCACCTGCCTTGTAAATAGGTATTACATTTGCCATTTTCCACTTATCAGGCACTATGCCAGTTTGTAGTGATATGTTAAAAAGATTAGCCAAAGGTATGTTAAGTTCCTCTTTACATTCCTTTAACACCCTTACAAACAGTTCATCAGGGCCTGGGGGTTTGTTAGGTTTTATTTTCTCTATTTGTCTGAGGACCATGTCACTAGTTACCGCAATCGTGCATAGTTTATCATCATCCTGTTCTACATAATCTATAATTTCAGGAATTTCGCTAGTATTTACCTGGGTAAAAACTGAGAGGAAGTAGGTATTGAAAATTTCACACATATCCTTATCACTGTCAGTGATCTGACCAGAGTTACTCTTGAGTGGGCCTATCTTGTCCTTAATCTTACTTCTGTATACCTGAAAGAACCCTTTTGGGTTAGTCTTCGAATCCCTTGCGACTTTAGCCCCATAATTTATTTTTGCTTTTCTTATTCCTTTTTTTATTTCTCTCTTTAATTGAATTTATTGATTTCTTAGCTGCCCATCCCCTCTTTTGATTACTATATATATAGGTACTTTTAAAAATATTTTCAAGAAAAAGCATTTTTTATAAAATATAGAATATGATAAAATATAATAAAGTGCACTAAAAATTACATTGCGAATGTTGGAATAGGCTTCTTATGATTCCCAGATATTGCACACATGTGTCCGCTTTATCAACTTGTCGATATTAAATAATCTATGATCAAATTATGATTAAGAACTGTTGCATTCGTTCACCTCAGCTCAATAACAAATAATTACATCAGAGGATAAGTGCACCTTATAGTCCTCCAGTTTCAAACTCTCATAACACTAAATGACAAATAATTGACTTGAACCTAATTCTTACAAATAATATTAATTCTTTATTTTGAATGTTTCAATGGGAACACAGAAACAGTGGAAGATAGAGAAACCAAGAGAGAAAAAGCCAGCAGAAGAGATACCGGAGACAGCAGGAGAGACAGAAAGACAGCAGTAGTAACAGGTAGTCTTTAAGGAAGGCTGACACACAGGATGGGTAACAACAAGAGCTCCTTTTTGGAAGAAGAGCTGCAAGAATACGAGGATCTTACCTTCCTGACAAGAAAGGAAATTATCACGTGAGAGAGATACAGCGAACATTATAGTTTCATATTTAGTTTAATATCCTTGAAGAGCTGGACTTCCGTGAAATATTTTCTTACTGTGTATGTACATAGGAACAGGAAATATTTGTTCAGGCAACTAACATCTATGCGTCATTTTCCTTTCTGATGGCCAGGGCGTGGAGCAGGTGGGAGGGACTGATAGGCTCCAACGTTGCCAATAACAAAGCTACACGCTACCCAGCTAAAACCATTGAGGAGCTGCCTGAACTGAAGGTTTGACAGACGAAATTATTACATTTTGGATCATTATATATTATCACTATATATCTTACATATTTTTATATTCTTGGAAAGCGCCCAAACTGTAAGTGCCATTTAGTGTTATTCCACCACTTATCAAGGGATCGAGGTTACCTGTTTCTTAATTACTTACTAGTAGTTACAGGAGCAGAGCAATGATAGCAGTGTCCTGTTATTATTATTTCATGCATGAAAGTTTTTTCAGGATGTGACTAATTATAAAATTAGGCACAATTGCAGTGAATGGTTGCATTGATTTTTGTGAAAATTTACATGGATGAAGCCAAAGAAACAGATTCATCTTGCTTGGTGCTTTATCGGTATATTTCAGACTGGGTTTCACACATGATATAATCAAATCTGTCAGCTCAGGCCAGGTCCTGTCTTAGTCGCCAGGAGAATTCCGTAGGTTGTTGAGGATAGTTTCCAACATTACTTTACAGGATCATTAGTCAAGGAAGCTTTAATAGCAGAGCTATTGCAAATTTTGAAGACACATTATCGTACGTATTCACTGCTTGGTGAACAGGGGTAGCAAAGGAACAGGCGACTTGTTCATACTGTTTGCCATGGTTCTACCTGTTAGTAAGGGACTGGAATTAGCCTCGTAAATACTGTCAATAAGTTTTATTGATTTCTGGTTTCCAGGTTCGACATTTTAAACATTGCGAGGCGTTAACCTACTCCACACTGTTTATTTCATCATACTTGTTACACACAGAATGAAAAAAAAAATCCTAATATCCCTGCGGGTAATACGCAGTACTGAATGCCAGTATATCTAAGGCTCATTCTCGTATCTTAGGCTATCTCTCTCCATTGTATCTAGTCCATGAGTATTTTTCACGTTATGATCATATCCCCTATAGTTCTTTTTTCTAGAGCTGGTAGATCGAATTTCATAAAAGTTTCTAGTCATATTCCACTTCCCTCAGTTTAGATATGAACTTGTGTATCTTCTCTAATTTCTTTACATACTGATGTACCTTACTCTAAGATAAGCTTTACTTATGTTGTACTTAAAGACTTAAAGATTATAAGATTTGTGGTAGTAGTTAATAGATCGACTAGTGTTACTGTGCCGCTGAAGTCATATAGATATATGTGCTTCTGGTGATATTTCTCTGGTGATGCTAACTCTCAAGTCATCTTTGTTGTATGTAACTGCCTTGCATTATCAAAATTATCATAGATATTTCTGTATGACAATTACTCTGTGTCAACAGTAATCCTGTATCATCATTATTCCTGTACCATTATTATTCTTGTAGCACTAATATTCCTGTATCACTAATATTCCAGTATCAACATTTCTGTATCACCAGTATTACTATATCTATATAATATCTGTATCACTTACGTTTCTGTACCGCGTACTAACATTCTTGTGTCAACAACATCCTTATATCACCAACATCCCTACATGACCAACATCCTTATATCACTCCATTATTATTTTACTAACACCAATGTATTAGCATCCTTGTAAAACCAACATCCTTATATCATCAACATTACTGTATCACCAACCTCACCGTATCACCACCTCTAACATTACTGTTTGTCTGCGTAGCACAACCCGTTCCGGGACAGGATATTGCGTGTGTTCTCCTCTCAACGGGACCATAAACTAAGTTTTGAAGACTTCCTCGACCTGGTCTCCGTCATGAGTGACAAGGCGCCCCTACAACTGAAGGCCTACTACGCATTCCACATCTTCGGTGAGTTGGTGCAACGAGCGAGGGAAGGAGAGAAGGGTTGAAGGGAGGGAGAGACGTAAAAGAGAGAAAAACGAAGGTAAGGAGGAAGGGTAGGAAGAAACAGGAAGATAGAAGGGAGGAGGGGGAGATGGAAACAGGGATGAACGGATGGAGAGAGGGGATCAAATACAGGTCACATTTTTTTGAGCAAACGATACAAAAATTGGTTGAACATATTCGAAAAATAATACTAATTATGAGAATATCTATTTTTTTTATCACTTTTTTTTGAGAATATGTAAAATTATGGGAGTCCACATAGTTAAACACAAGTCCACATAATTAAGTAATAGTCCACATAGTTGAACTCTCCACTAGACACTGCTTGATAATAATTATTGTCTGTCGAGTAGTCATGGAATTCATAAATCGTAGTGTGAGGTGGTGGAGGGGGCGAATGGTGGAGAGGGAAGAGTGGCGGAAGGGTAAGAGTAGTGAAATTTTCTCCACAGGGGACGATGACCCCTGTCGAGGAGGGCCAGGGCCCCTCTCTCTCTACTTTCCCAAATTAGAGATGCTGGTGTGGGTTAGATGGTCAGGACCTCTTCTTTTCCTGCATCAGCAGCAATGAAGCAAGATCGTATTTCTTGCAGTTTTAAATTAAAACATACCAGAACGCCTATTTATCTTAACATGTGATTCTAACTCTGCATAATTAGACATTCTCTAATGGGATTGGTCACACTGAAGTTCACACATGTACAGCAGACATCTTCCTTCTTTACAGGAGTATCTGCAACTTGTTTCATCCATGCGTTTCTCTAAGGCAGTTACTATTTCCAAGTCTATTAAAAATTCAAGATAATTTGCCTCTAAACCGATAATATAACTAGGGTCATTATGCCTTACAACCCGCAACTAGGAATCAAGGAATACGCACTTTCTGACTTTGTTGGGCTACAGTAGTTAGGTGCTAGCACCTAACTACTGTAGCCCTTAGGTCAGCAGAAACCAGCCTGAAAACGAAGGTGCGAGAGGTTGCAACAGTTAGATGGCAGTTTGAATTAGATCAATGAAGATGTGACGAAGCGACTGAGGTGTCGCCGGGCAGGCCATGCAGCATTAAAATGCAAAAACATTCGTGGCCATATTTGTGTATATTCATGAAACCTGAGTTGTTTACTGGTAATCTCCAGGACTCTTCCTGCCACATATAATTACTGATATATTGCGAGTGAAGCAAGTGCCTCGGGAGAATTATTCTCCATGTCGCTCATTTGTGTACTAGTTACATAGGAAGAACTTTTCCCCTACTTGTGGATATTATCCATAGATACAGTTGACAAGTCGAACTTGTGAACAAATGAGAGTCGTCAAGGGGCGTTCAATGTGCACAGCAGACAACAGAAGTGAAGACGTCCGAAGTCACTCTTCAACCAAGCCATCGATATCGGCCTCCCTCGACCTAGAAACGGCAAAAGTTCCTGTTACAATGAGCCAGGTAAGTCACTATTTTACCCGACATCCGCCTATTTATCACTGCTGTGCCTAGGGTAGATGTTAGGTGAATAGGGCTAACCATCGAGGCAGTTATAATCAGGCCCAAGCCTAACACACAGGTAAGGAAAGTGGTCTTACCTAGCATTTCCTGCTCATATTACAACAATATGTTTATGGAAAGCTGCTCTCTTTCAGTCCAAGAGGAACCAGACAGCAGAAAGCCGCTCTCTTTCAACCAAAGGGGAACCAGATAGCAGAAATCGGAGGAGACACCTGGGGGAGGCGGCAGGGGTCTCATGCTGTCATCGACAAGATGACTACACCAGACCAACAGTCATCTTTTTGTTATATTATATATCTATCCGATACTCGTCTCTCAAGTTTCCCTAAGAGAGGTGAAGAGGAAGTGTAGTGGAGAGGAAGTGTGGTGGAGGTAGAAGAGTGGTGGAGAGGGAGAGTGGTGGACGGGAAGAATGGTGGAGGGGAAGAATGGTGGAGGGAAAGAATGGTGGAGGGGAAAAGTGGTGGTGAAAGAGGAAGAGTTGTGGAGGAAAATATTGATGTAGGAGGGTGGTGGTGGTGGTGGTGGTGGTGGTGGTGCATAGTGGCTGAGGGTAATGGCGGAGGATAGTGATTGAGGGTGGTGGATAGTGGTTAAGGGTAGTGGTGGAGGAGAGTTGTTGAGGGTGGAGGTAGAGGATAGTGGTGGAGGACAGTGGTAGAGGTTGGTGATTTTCGAGGAGGATAATGGTTGAGGGTGTTGGTGGTGTTGGAGGATAGTGGTAGGGGGGTGATGGTGGTCTAGGAGAGAGGTTGTGGGTGGTGGTGGAAGGAATGACTGATTTAGAAGGTTGGTGGTTGAGGTTCGTAGTAGTGGTGGAGAAGGATAGTGGCTGTGGGTGGTGGTGGTTGCATGGATGTGGTGATGGATGTGATGTGGATGTGGTGGTGTGGATGTGGTGGTGTGGATGTGGTGGTGGTGGATGTGGTGGTGGAGGATGTGGTGGTAGTGGATGTGGTGGTGTGGATGTGGTGGTGGATGTGGTGGTGGTGGATGTACTGGTGGATTTGGTGGTGGAGGTGGTGGTGGTGGTGGTGGTAGATATGGTGGGGTGGATGTGGTGGTGGTGGACATAATGGATGTGGTGGTGGATAAATGGATGTGGTGGTGGTGCATGTGGATGGGGTGGTGAATATGTTTGTGGTGATGGTGGTAGCTGTGGATGTGGTGGCGATGGTGGTGAATGTGATATCAGTGGTGGTGGATGTGGTCGTGGTGGTGGATGTGGTCGTGGTGGTAGTGTTAGTGGTGGGGATGTGGTGTTGGTGGTGGTAGTGATGTTGGATATCGTAGTGGATGTGGGGGGGGTGATGGGTGCGGTTGTGGTGGGGGGTGGCTGTATGGTGGTGGTAGTGGTGGGGGTGGTGACTGTGTAGTGGTTGTAGTGGCTGTGTGGTAGTGGTGGTGGTTGTAGTGACTGTGTGGTGGTGGTGGTGGTGGTTGTGGTGATGATGGTGGCTGTGGTGGTAGTTGTGGTAGTGGTAGTTGTACTGCTTTTTATGGTGGTAAGGTAGTGGTGGTAGTTGTTTTGGTGGTGGTGGTGGTGGTAGTAGTGGTATCGACAGCGGTGGTAGTAGTAGCGAAGGTGGAGATGGTGGTATTTCTGGTTCTTACTTGCACATATTCCACTTACTTCAATGATGGTGGTTGTGGTTGTGGCTGTGGTTGTAGTGGTGATGGTATTGGTTGTGGTGGTGGTGATAATGGTACCAGTGACAGTGGTGGTTCTGATGGTGGCTGTTGGTGGTGGTGGTGGCTGTGTCGGTGGTGGTGGCTGCGGTTTACGTGGTGATTGCTGTGGTTGTTGTCGTGCTGGTTGTGGTAGTGGTAGTGGTGGTGGTGGTAATGGAGGGTAGTGGTGGCTGTGGTGGTAGTGACAGCTTTCGTGGTGGTATTTAATGGTGGTGGTGGTTTGTGTGGTGGTGGAAGTGGTGGTGGTGGTGGTGGTAGTGGGTGGCGGTAGTAGTGGTTGTGGCAGTAGTATGTGGTGGTGGTGGTAGTAGTAGTGGTAGTGGTGGTGATAGTGGTGGTAATGGTAGTGGTAGTTGTAGTTGTGGTGGTGGTAGTAGTGGTGGTATGGTGGTGGTAGTAGTGGTTGTGGTAGTGGTGGTAGTGGTGGTGGTAGTGGTGGTGGGGGTGGTGGTAGTGGTTATGGTAGTGGTGGTTAATAGAGGTAACAGTGGTTGTTGTAATTGAAGGTGGTAATAGTAGTGTGGTAATAGAGGTAACAGTGGTTGTTGTAATTGAGGGTGGTAGTAGTATTGGTGATAATGAAGGGTGGAGGTGGTGGTTACTGTAGTAGTGGTGGCAGTGGCTTCTGTGGTGGTAATGGTGGCTGTGGTGGTGGTAGTGGTAGTGGTGGTGATGGTTACTGTGGCGGCTGTGGTGGTGGTGATGGTGGTGGCTGTGGTGGTGGGTAGGGCAGTTTTAGTAGGGGTATTGGAGGGTTGTGGTGGTAGTACTAGCGGTGGTGGTGGTGGTATTGGTGGTGGTGGTGGTGGTGATGCGTTGGTGGTGTTGGTGTTGGTGGTGTTGTTATTGGTGGTGGTGTTGGTGGTGGTGGTATTGGTGATGGTGGTAGTGGTGGTGGCAGTGGTGGTGGTATTGGTGGTGGTGGTGGTGGTGGTGGTGGTGGTGGTGGTGATGTTGTCTGTGGTGGTAGCGGTGGTGGTGTTAGTGGTGTTTGATGTCTGTGGTGGTAACGGTGATGGTGGTGATGGTACTGGTGGTGGTGTTGGTGGTGGCAGTGATGGTGGTGGTGGTACTGGTGGTGTTGTTGGTGGTGGCAGTGATGGTGGTGGTGGTGGTGGTATTAATGGAGGGTTTGTGGTGGTGGTGGTGACTGTGGTGGCAGTAGTGGTGGTGGTTGTGGTACTAGTGGTGGTGGTACTGGTGGTGTTTATGGTGGTGGTAGTGGTAGTAGTGGTGGTTCGATGGTTGTGTTATTAATGGAGGGTTATTAATGTGATGGCTGTGGTGGTGGTGGTTGTGTTGGTAGTGGTGGTTGTGGTACTGGTGGTGGTGGTGGTGCTGTTGTTGTTGTTGTTGTTGTTGTTGTTGTTGTTGTTGTTGTTGTTATTGTTGTTGTTTTGTTGTTGTTGTTGTTATTGTTGTTGTTTTGTTGTTGTTGTTGTTGTTGGTGGTGGTGGTGGTGGTGGTAGTAGTGGAGGTGTTGGTTGTGGTGGTGTTGGTAGTGGTGGTGTTGGTAGTGGTTGTGATGGTGATGGTGGTGGTAGTAAAAGAGGGTTGTAGTGGTGGCAGTGGTGGCAATGGAGAGTGGTTCTTTTACCTTTGATGTACCTTTGATGAGTTTCGAGAATGGGACATGCTCCTCTGGTCAACCAGACTGTCGCTGTTGGAGGTCCACTGCTCCTCATATCTACCACAGCCTTGGTGATCTAGTACCTGGTGTCCAGTTTTCTCCTGAAGGCTTCTACACTTTTTCCATCAGTTTTTCTAA